GGACACCGCCTTGGACCATAGAGTCCTACGTTGCCTACTCCGTGCGAGGTTCTACGGGGTGTATCGGATTGGACCTATTCGATTGGACCACCATCTCGTTACAACTCTCGTAGAGAGGTGGCGCATAGAGACGCGCACATTTCATTTTCCTGTTGGAGAGTCCACAGTTACATTACAAGCTGTGGCTATTCTATTTGGCCTACCGGTTGATGGACATGCAGTCACAGGAAAAGACCCAGGAAATATGTTGGATGATTTGATAGCACTATGTGTGGAGTTGTTAAGAGCAGCACCTACACAAGAAGACTTCATAGGCTCATCACTTAAGTTGAAATGGATATCCGAGCATTTCCGTCACCTTCCACATGATGCATCCGATGAGACGGTTCATCATTATGCTCGAGCCTATATTTTGTGGCTTATTGGGGGGGTCCTCGTCCCCGATAAGTCACAAAATATAGTCAAGATGATGTTTTTGCCACTACTTAGAGACTTTGACCGTATCCAGGAGTACAGTTGGGGTGGTGCCACATTGGCATGTTTGTATAGGATGCTGTGTCGGGCAACTAAGGCTGATATGAAGGAGAAAGCTGGCCCACTAGTATTGTTACAAGTGAGTTGCAATGACTTGTAGTTTTATCTCATATTCTCAATTGCCATGTTTTCTAAATTGCCTACTGTAATAAATTAATAATGGCATCATTCATTGTAGGTTTGGGCGTGGGAGAGACTGAGCAGGATCGCCCCTAGTCGGAAGTCGAACATTGCTGCTGGCGAGCGTCCCATAGGGGAGGGCAACCAGCTGTTACCACCTGTCCCGCGAGCTTGTAGGTGGAGGGTTCCCTTCAACCATGAGGTGATATCGACTAATGTCGGTGTCATCTTCCGAGACCAGTTCGACCGCATGGTGGAGGGGGAGGTTTGTAATTTGTTCATGTGAATTTACCCATTTTTTTGTTTGTCAACCTCCGTTGTACGAATAGATCTCTAAATTATTGCATTGCTATTGCAGTTCATATGGGAGCCTTACGGGACGGAGGATGCCATCATAGCCAGCTTCCCATCGTATTGCACTGTTGGTCGAGACATATGGATGGCGCGAGTGCCACTTATATGCTTCGATATCATTGACTGGCATCTTCCCGACCGGGTGCTTAGACAATTTGGGCGAGTTCAGAGTGTGCCTGATCGCTTTGACGCCCACTTGGCTATGCATTTTAGGGATAGGCGTGGCAAAATGGGCATTGATTGGGCAAATGAATACCAGTCATTTATTGGTGAGTGGAACAATAGACGTAACACCATTGTCCATGCTGAGAGGAGCAATGAAGTGCTTACATCTTCGGACCCATACATGTTATGGTTTCGCCGCCATACACGTCTAGTGCTTAGTAATCCGAGTGACATTGCTACCTTCGGATACCAAGGCGTCGGGGGCAGTTTAGAGGGATTGGTAAGTTATTTATATTCTCCAAAACAACATTTGCTTAAGTTTGTATATGTTTGTTATTTGGCATTGATGGTTATGTAACACAGCTACCATTACATTACAGGTTCGTAGAGTTGCGAGGGCATGTCACATGGCAGACGCTGCCCATATTACACGCGATGCTAGAGAAAAATCGGATGCCATTGCCGAGATACGGGAGTTATTGTACGATGGTTTGCAACAGGCACACCGACGTGACCGACTAGACTTCGGCCACTTTGGCGAGGATCCTTATATGGGGGTAGATATTACAGTGCCATCAATGCCGCACCCGAATATGCCATCCACTGAGCCATCGACATCAATGCCATCGACATCAATCCCTCCACCGCATCCTACCGCACGTCATGCACATCAATCGGACTATTTCGATATGGAACACTTTGGTGAGGGACCTTCCATGGTCCTGTCCCCTCATGGTCCATCTACAGCAATGCATACACCGCAGACTTCCCCACCTGAATGTACCAATTACACATCCCAGTTTGCCCCTGAGGTAGATCCTCTAATGTCTGAACATACTTCCACACACCATGGCCATATATTGGACCCCTCCTGGTCACCACCCCCATATAGGACAGCAGTTGGTACCCCGGTGACTCCCTTAGCACCACTGTCTACTGCATGTCTGTCTACTATGATTCCCTCTGCATCGACATTGACCGCACCCGACCCTTTGACCATACCATCATCTCCTACCCCACCATCATCTCCCGAGGGCGAGGGCGAGGGCGAGGGCGAGGGCGAGGGCGAGGGCGAGGGCGAGGGCGAGGGCGAGGGCGAGGGCGAGGGCGAGGGCGAGGGCGAGGGCGAGGGCGAGGGCGAGGGCGAGGGCGAGGGCGAGGGCGAGGGCGAGGGCGAGGGCGAGGGCGAGGGCGAGGGCGAGGGCGAGGGCGAGGGCGAGGGCGAGGGCGACGCCGAGCAATAGACCATGACAATAATGCAGCGGATGATGGCGCTTCACAGCTTAGTGCCGTATGTGAAGGTGTGCCAGAGGTGGTATCAAATGATTGTACTGCAGCCATTGGTGATGTGCAGCCAGCTTCTATAGAAGCGGGCGAGGGAGTCGTACGTGCGGCAGCGCAAGATATACTGAGAGTATATAGTAAGAGACCCAGGAGACAAACCCATGGAAGGGGTTGTGGAACAGGGGGAAAATTAGGACATTAGGAACAACCAGCATTGGTAAGTATATTCAAACATTATGTTCAGGTGGTGTTTTCACATGGATTAGTCTACATTGTTTAAGTTTTGGCTTATTATATAGTTCTGGCTTTTGGCTTATCTTATCTTGTAATTGTCGCTTATTTTATAAGATTCTAGATGCTGATGCTGCTGCTATTTTTGTTACTGTTTTGAAGGAAGGGGTAGCTACTTGCTGTGTTGCTGGTTGCTGGTTGCTGGTTGCTTGCTATTTCTTGATTCTGGTTGCTGCCGGTTGTGTGTTGCTGCTGCTGGCTTGATGCTGTTTTCTTCTTCTTCTAGCCAAAGTGCTGCATCTATAGCTTCTACCCGAGAATTTCAAGTCACGGATAGGCTACTGCTTCTTCATTTGTAGATTGATCAAGGTCTTAATAATTGATCTAGGCTAACATTGTTCACTAGCAAAATGGGCATATGAAGTTCCAAAGTTAGACATAATTTTTAAAATCTTCTCCAGAGGCTTTTAGAAGTTCAAACCATTCTGACGACATGATTTGGCAACAGATAAACCTGTGACATAACTTGGAAAAAAACAAAACTCAATCAAATTAACTACAGAAAGCTCATTAACTTTTGAATTTTTTGCACACCTCATAGTTGATGGTGAGGAGGTTTAAGTTTAAAATGTAGTAAGTAATAACTAATTGTTAGTATGTACCCATTTCAATTGCATATTGGTCCCTTGATCTCTGGTTTTTTCCTTTGTAGCCCTTTTGTTTCATATCTGCAGGTGACTGATTACCTCATTTTTTTGGGGTCTTTTATAGCTTCTTGCTTCATCCCCCACTGCAAAGTCTCTACGTCTACAGTATAATTCCACAGAACCAAATTCAGTAGATGAAGAAGGTTAACCCACAAACGCTGGTTAGCATCCCTCCTGTGGAAACCAATTCCCTCAACAAAGAAAGTTGCTGGCTCAAAATCCCACCAGTGCTGATTGAGAACTAGGTCTGTAGTAGAAAATAGAAATTGTACAAAACCTCAGTTTGAACCATTTTATACTTTTTATGGGAAAACATGAGGGTATTCCTGTGACAAATGGAGAGTTAAGATCTAGGGAAGATATAACTGTCAATGAGAGTCAGAAATCTGCCCGGACAGCTTCTTCTGCAGCAAAGCAGGAACGTGCGAAGAATGGGGTACAAAACAGACCTGCAGTGCCAAGTTACATGGCAGCAACTGAATCTGCAAAAGCAAAACTGAAAGCATAAGCCTCGCCAAGGTTGGACCAAGATGGAATTGAGAATCATAATCTCAGTAGGCGTCATTCTTTGCCAGCTTCAACTAACAAGAAAACAAATTCGTCGTCGCCAAGGGCACAGAGACCAATACATTCGGGTGGAAAAGGTGGAAACAAAAGTGATAGATCTATGTTGTCATCTAGAGATGGAAATGGTAAGAAATGGAAGAACTCCAACCAACCTGCTAAAAAGTAAGTTATATTCGGCTCTTGCATCTAACATAGCCCACATTCCATACAGGCATCTCATTCTCTCTCTCTATGTCTATCTCTCATGTTTTTATGTCCTTCACACTCTCCTTATTGTTTCTCTACTTTTGTTCAAACCAGGAATTCCAAGCTTACTCATATGCTGCAGAGCTCTCTAGGTGAGGTTCTTTGGTGTTTTTAGTATTTTGCTTCGTTGAAGTGATTTTTGTGCTTTAGAATCCACTTTAAATGCTGTAGTGCCACTTATAATCTGCCATGCCGCTGTTGTTCAGAAAGTATACTTTTCGTATTGAGAAAAATGAATGAGTAATTGATGTGCTCAGTTGTTTATAACTTAATTGTCGGGAATTAACTACATAGGATCCTAATCTAAAATATAAATTTTTGCAACGGAAAGTCAATTTCTATCTACTGCCTTTTGTTCAAGTAAAAATTACTGGAACTTGAAATGCAGCAGTAGATTGCAAGACCCTGATGTTTGTCCAGATCAGCCCAAGTGCTGCTGATTTGGGAGAAACTCTGTGCTCACTTAATTTTGCTAGCCGTGTGAGAGGGATAGAGCATGGACCTGCTCGTAAACAGGCATACCTCACAGAGCTTGTCAAATATAAGCAACTGGTATGCAGAAAGATAACTTCTTTTCCAAGAACTATTATTTTTTGTCAAAAGTTGTTGCAACTCATGATTATAAATTTAAAACATGCAGAAAAAGCCAAGCATGATGAGAAGGAAATGAAGAAATTGCAGGATAGCTTGCAGTCGTTGCAATTACGACTTGGTTCTACAGAACACTTCTGCAGAAGTCTTCAATAGAAGGTATTGTTTTAAGGCAATTTGTAGATGGATGTTCTAACAAAGGAAATGGATGTTTTATTTATTGGCTTGAAAGATAGGAATCGAGTTTTAAGCCAATTGTTCTTTGAATTACTCAACAGGTTCGAGATCTTGAGAACGAATTAGCTAAGGAGAGAAAAACCAGACTAAAACAAGAAACTAGAGCTTTGGCTGCTGTTTCTGCTCAGTCTCCAGCTTTGTCAGCTCTAAACCAAGCACAGAAGACCATAGTAGAGAAAAAACCACCATTGGGTCCCTCAAGATTGAGATTGTCTTTGCGAAGAATCACCAATTTCTTGCCCCCGCCAGCACCACATCACAAGACCAGCACTCCCACTTCTTCTATTCTCCCTGTCTCAACAGATGACAAGGAAAATATATCGAACACAACCAAGACAAAGGCATCCTTGAAAGCAAGACGTGGATCCATTGCTGTCAGACCTCCTCCTCCAGCAACAAATCCAGATTTGACCAATGCAAATTGTACAATATGTTTGAGATATCAAACAGGAGAAGGATGCAAATTTAGGTCTTCTAAGAAAAAAATGATAACTATACTAAACGCTCTTCTGCAAGAAAAATAATAATGATTCTATTAATTTTGGGTCCATGTTATATTTCTTGTGTTAACTTTTTTGTGTTATGGCTTGTTGCAGGTTATGTTGTCCACTCTTGCTTTCACAACATTTGAGCTTCCCCCTAATGGGGCTATTAGAACAAGAATATTGGAGTTCCTTTTTCACTCAAGGCCTGATTTGGTGAGAATTTTATTTATTTATTTTCCTTAATGTCAGTAAATCTAATCCTGAAATGCACTACCATTGTTGTGTCCTGCCTTGTTTTTGGTGGGAAATTTGGCAATTGAAAAACTATTGTTGTGGAGTTCTCATGTTGTGATTTTGCCAACTACTTTGAACTTTTTTGTCCTATTCTACTTGCAAGCTTAGTTTAGATGGGGCAAATTACAGAAGTACTCCCTGATAGGCAATTTATTGAAATGCACCTGATTTGTCTTGAGTTTTCTCAAATCTGAAGCAGCTAAAATTGTTTGGGTTCAACCAAACCCCTTGAAAACAGTCCCCCTATAATGTGATACCAATGGTGAGACAATGGTCCGTTGGTAGGGCCCATATGGATGTTTTCTTTCTCCTTTTCTGAGCATAGACTTTAAGGTGTCAATCCCCATATTAGTATGTGAGTTAGTTACTGCTGAATCATTTATTATGTTCATCTATATTTCAAATTGTCTACAAAACTTTTTGTTGACACTTGGATAAACTTATAGAAATTGTATTTACCATGTGGTGATCCATGTTTGAACATTGAAATTTCATGTATTTGTTTGATGTCTTGATTTCAAAAATTTGTAGGTGAACATCAGGAGTGTTGATGAGGCAATAGTGATTGGTGCTGCTCTTTCATTGTCTTCTTCAGCTTTTGTCCTGCAGGTAATTTTGTTGTAGGTATCTCAAGGTTGCTCTGTCGATTAAATAAGTTGGTTAGAGTTTGCCAGCATTGGCCTTGTGAATTTGCAGCATGGCTTATGCAAAAATTACATTTCTATCATTAAGTTAATTGAACTCTTTTTTGTAATCAGTAAAAAATCAATTTAGCTTCTTCGTGCTTCCTGTTTTACTGCTCAAGTATTGCTTAATATTTCCCTTCTTTCTTCGTTTCTTTCTTTCTTTGTGCAGCTTGGAACATTTTTGGCTGGGGCATTATTAGCAGAAACAAATTTCCGAACACAGATTGAAGCTGATATAAGGCCATTTAGAGGCTTGCTGCTTGGGTTATTTTTTGTTACTACTGGCACTTCCATTGACATGCAGGTAGTTCCATGCTTTTATCCCATGTGTTGTGTTTTAATTATGGTGCACTGTTTCATATTCATTCCTTGGGTACAAGGTTAGGGTGATGATTTCGTAGAGTGAGGTTTTGGAGATGAAATGTCAACTGTTTGAAGGGTGTTGGCAGTCACATATGAAAAATAATTCAGTTGTTTCTTGTGGAAAAGAAATTTTTGGGAATTTTACCTAAATTCCTTAGATGTCATCAGTCATAACGTAAAATAAAGGAATTTAGGGTTGAGATTTAGGAGGAAGAAGAAGAAGAAGTTTTATATATTCAAATAAGCATTAACCTCAACTTTACATCAGTCAAATATATATACAAAACCCTAACATGGCAATATGACCATCGTACCCTCAACTCAGGTAAATATTAACAATAGAACAAAAGAACAAAATTTAACTTCCCAACCAAAGATGGGAATCATTTATCTACTTAACCTATCCTTTGATATTTTTGTACTCGGAACTACTTTTACTCATATATGCTCTTTCTGATTTGCAAAACTTTACAACAGACGGAACTACTGTATGGATGTCACGGTCACCTTCCCCATCATAAATACGAGCTGTGACAACAGACGGAATTTAATAAGCCCGTGTAGGTTGGGAGTTGAGCCGAACGGCCACCTTCCCTGTGACAAATAGGACTTGTGACAATAGACGAAATGTAATTAACACATGTAGGTTGGGAGTTAGAGTCGAAAACGTCTTAAACTTAACTGAAAAATGAGTAACGGGCGAAACTGCAAAATAGCCCCCGAACCATTGTTCGAATGTCATGACCATCTTTCCCGTGACAAATAAGACCTGTGACAACAGACAGAATGTAATTAGCACGTGTAGGTTGGGAGTTAGAGCTGAAAATGCCTTAAACTTAACTGAAAAAGGGTGTTAACGAGGCAAAACTACAAAACAGTCCCCGAACCACCGTTTGGATGTCACGGCCACCTTCCTTGTGACAAATAGGATCTGTGACAATAGACGGATTGTAATTAGCACGTGTAGGTTGGGAGTTAGAGCCGAAAACGCGTTAAACTTAACCGAAAAAGGGCGTTAAGAGAGCGACAATACGGACCAAAATTTTGAATTTTACGAAGCATGATTGGATGAGAAACTCAAACATGCAGCCTTTTGGAAGCACATATGTGCTACTGTGAAGCTATTAGAATTGGTGCCTAATGAATCTGATTTTAGTAGCTATTAGAAGTGGTTCCTAAAGAATGTGATTTTGGTAGTTTGGAAGTACTATGAAAGGATGGCATCAACATTTCTTGTGTTGGAGTAACAATTGTGATGTTTGGTTAGAGTTAGAGTAGTGGTTACAGTCTAGGGGTACAAATAACAGTTGATGTAATTGTGGAAGGGTCGCAATGGTAGGGTTGATGGTGGCACATTGGTGTTGAAGAGTTGGTTGTCTTGATTGTTGAAAGGAACATTTGGGAGTGTTTTTGGCAATTCTATAGACATTGTGGAAGGCAACAAACGACTTAATCTTTAATACGAAGGAAACTAAATGGGAGATGATTATAGTTATGCAACAATGATTGAGAAGCTTTTTTTTTGGAGACCCCTACAACCCCCTTTGGATCTCAGCCATTGATGGTGTGGGCCCCACACATACATGAGTGGGTCCCACATATACATTAATGATTGAGATCCAAAGGGGGTTGTGGAGGTCTAAAAAAAAAAGGGGACCCAAGTATTTTTCTATAGTTATGTGATTGTTTTGTATTGGAGATGTGCAGTTTGGTTCTTGTTTTAAGGACCAAACTTTTTAAGATGGGGAGACTGTGACAATCCCAAAATGTTAATCGTAATTATACGTGATTAATTATTGTGGAGAAGTGGTTTTGGGGATACTCTTCAGATCATAGGGGACGCTTTTGATCCTCTTCTAGTCACCTAAAAAATAATGAACACACCGGTCGGGGGTGCCGGAATTAGCACTCCGACGTGCAAGTCAGTCTCACACTCAAGATTCCCTGTGCCTCGGGGCAAGGCCCACTTTTCACTCATTATCCTTCTATTCCCTCGGCTCCATAGTTCAATAACTATTCGGCCTATCTATCCATTTTATTCGGCATCTTGAACGTGCCGGATAGAGCCGAATAGTATCTGACTAGAATATGCTTTTAATTCTTTTTAATATTCGACTCCCACAATTGCCCCCCAAACACCCCACTAGCATCATCTAGTCGGCGTGGTTGGCTTCTAATCTGGGGACACTAAAATTCAACGGTTAATCATCTTCCCGATGCGTGTTGGGACGCATATACGCTTTTTGGTCATTATAACGCTTTCCCGCCTCATTCGTGCTTCTCTCGCATTTATTATGATTTGAAGCTTAAGTCTTGTCGAATACATGCTTTTTCCAATATTTCGAACCTTCTGGACTGCCAATCGGTATTTCTTCTCTGGCATTTTCTATAACTCCTATCCGTCTTCTCCTTGTTTCCTTTGCCTTTCATAAGTCTTCTTCTCTTCTCTTTGCAATCCTACTTTCGGTATTTATTTTTTGATTTAAAATATCCTTGAGTCCTCACTAAAATGGCTAAGCATTTGAAAGACCTCCTCTTCGAGGATCGAATTTCTGGGTTCCGGAGACATTTCTCCATTCCTGATAATGTCCATCTATCTCTTGTAACGGACAATTCCCCTGATATGGAGAGGGACGACCGAAATATAATCGTCTTTCCTCTCCTATCCGTTGCGGAGGGCGGAGTTTGCTTTCCCCTACATCCATTTCTTAGGGCCGTCCTCCGACATTGGGGTCTGATTCCCTCGCAACCCAATGTGAATTTCTTTCGAATCGTGATGAGAATCGAAGAGTTGAACCGGCGCCTCAGGATCAACCTTGGCATTCCGGCGATTCGGCACTGCTACGCTTTAGCCAAATCCTCCGGTTGGTTCGGTCGTTACTTTCTCAGGGCCAAGGACACCGACCATCACTGGTAACAATGCTTGCCAGCTCTGGCAAACGAGTTGACGATGTAATGGTCAATGTCCGAGGCAACTGGGAATTCGGCGAAGGCGAAGATTGCCTAGACCCTATTCCCAGACGGAGAGGTGAACCAAGTTGCTGTGTAACTCCTTGTTTGTTGACCCTTCTTTTATTCGGCTCCTTTTCCAAATCTAATCCTCTGTTTTTACAGGCAATAAGTTGAAAAAGGTTCTGACCTCGGCTGACGACGCAGTCCTTGCGGAAATTAAGACTGCACTAAAGTATTGTGGCCGTCCAAACGTATAGAAACAAGGTTGAGCCGCCCACATTCTTCTGCGGCATGAGCCTACCTATACTACGTTCTCGGCCGCAGACAACATTCCAATCCCAACCGGCGAACAACACCATACGGCTCTTGTCTTCCCTAGCTTCAAGTCTCTTAGACAAATTGGTCTCGAAACTCCTGATTCGGAGCAAAACTTAGAGTCGATGATCGAGGTAGTCGCCGAATCAATCAGGGAGTTCGCTGCTGAGGCCGAAGAGGTCGACGAAGCCCAGAGGTCAGCGTTTGAGGCTGCCGGTCGTAGCCAACCTGACTCACCGTCCACTTCGGGTCAGGTAGAGTTTTCCTTCGAAGATATTTTTACAGACTTGGGGGATCTACCCGGGGATTTTTCTGAAGGCATGGCTGGGGAAAATCTCACGCAGATGGCGAGAAAGAGAAATGCCGAACGAATGGGCGCCCGAAAAAAGACAGAGGCCGCTCGTTCTGAGCCTGCCCCGGTTGAGTCTTTACAACCCATTA